GATCCAGTGAAGAAATCTGCTCCCTATTTCTTGCTGTGGGGTTGGACCACCAGAGGTCCAAGAAACATGGACAGGTAGAAGTCATAGCCCGAATGGTGGAGTCCTGTTTCTCTAGGGCAGTGAGCTTGAAGTGCCCTGAGCCTGGACTGTGTGTCAGAGGGAAATCTGAGCGCACTAGCCAGGCCTTACACCTCCTACTTATTCAGCACAGCTCAGGACATGGCAGGTTCCGAGGTCTCCTTGTGGCTGTAGCCACAAGGAAGATCTGGAGCTGTAGAGGCTTTGCTGAGCAGTGGGGACCAGGCCCGACTTAGTTGCCTCCCAGGCTGGAGCTACTGTTGTCAATAGGGCGGGCGCTGGCTTCCTACCAGGCAGCCTGGTGGACAGGCGCCAGTTGGCTCCTAGCACAGCCTTGACAATGTATCCCAGCCTGGCCACGTACTCATGGCCCTGACCATTTCCATGGCCTCCTCGATGTCTGGCACCATTCCTCCCATCATTGGGGGCCCTTGTCAGGAAGGCTAGTGTGTGGGGAGCATTTAGGGCTTCTGTTGTGGGCACAAGGGAGTCAGGCATTTGCGCGGCCTGGATCTGGTCTCAGCCTCTTTCAGTTAGTTCTTTTTTTTTTTTTTTTCTCTTCCTTAAGCCTGAGGCATTCCCCAGGAACAGGGATAAGACCTCAGGGAATCTGTAAGGCTCCTGAATGTGTATGTAAAAAGTGTTCCTGCCCGGGGGAGAGGGCTGGAAGCTTTTCTAGGTTCAAAGGTGTCCGTGAACAATGAGGATTTAAGTCTGCCTGAGTGGGTGAGGATTCAGGACAAAGGGCGGCTATTCAAATCCTTCCCATTAAAATAACAGTGACTCCAAGCTGTGTTCTGCAAGACAAAACACTCCTAGTGCCCCCTCCCAATATAACATAGGAGGGACTCTTGGAGCCTCACTTTCTGCCTGCTTCTACATGTGTGACCTTAGTCAAGGTTTTTAACCTCTCTCGGCCTCAGTTTCCACATTGGTGAAATCGGGATCATTTATTTCGCACATTTATTTGTGCGAATTAAATAATACATGTAAAATACTTAGAAGAGTGCCTGATACATAGTAAGTGCTTTATATGGGTGTGTTAAAGAAAAGTTTTCAAACTCCTGGTTCTGTATGTTTAAGGGGCCTCAGCTTCCCCTTTGGGCTCCTCACTGTCTCCCCATACCCTTCTGTCTGCCTAGGTATGAGCTCATGTACCAGTGCTGGAGCGCTGACCCCAAGCAGCGCCCGAGCTTCACATGCTTACGGATGGAGCTGGAGAGCATCCTGGGCCACCTGTCAGTGCTGTCCACCAGCCAGGACCCCTTGTACATCAACCTTGAGAGAGCCGAGGAGCCTGAGGAGGGAGGCCGCCTGGAGCTGCCTGGCAGGGACCAGGCCAGCGGCGGGGCTGGGGATGGCAGTGGTGTGGGGGCAATGGGGGGCACCCCCAGTGACTATCGGTACATCCTCAGCCCTGGGGGGCTAGCTGAGCAGCCTGCGCAGGAGGAGCAGCAGCCAGAAAGCCCCGTCAGTGAGGGCCAGAGGCTGCTGCTTCTGCAGCAAGGGCTACTGCCCCACAGTAGCTGTTAGCCCACAGAAAGAGGGCGTCCCGAGCTATGCTGCTGGCTCTGCTGGCCCGCCGCTGGCTGAGGAAGCCCTTTCTGACCCCAGCCCAGGCAGCAAGGCATGGAGGCTCCTGTGGTAGTCCTCCCAAGCTGCGCTGGAAGCCTGGACTCACCAAATCGCCCAATCCCAGTTCTTCCTGCGGCCACTCTGGCCTGCCTGGTGTCAGTTCAGGCCTTGGCTGGGTGGAGGTGGGCCAGGCCTGGTTGTCTAAACCCAGGCAGCTGGCAGGAGGGGGGAGGTTATGTTTCCATGGTTACCATGGGTTTGGAGAGGATTTGGGGCAGGGTAGATCTAGCCCTGTGGGCCCCTACTCTCTGGCTGAGCTGCCCCTGCTGCTTTAGTGCATGCATTGAGGTGTCTCTGACCAGGGGCCAGCTCTGCACATGCTTGGGGTTTAAATGCCCAGGTTTGCTCCTCCTCACAAAGAGATGCCCTTGTATTATTCCCTTTAGGTGAGAGTTGGTAAGGGGTTGATACAGGCGGGTCCCAAGCCCTATGGTAGGAGACAGTGGGGCATTCTCAGGTCTGAATCGTTATCCCCTTCCTGATGACCCACCTACCCTGCCTAGGCCAGGAGTAAAGTGCAGCTTTACTGACCAGGTCACAGCAAGGCATGCTGGATTGCTGCAGGCTACCATTTGCCCAGCCCATAAGGGCAGTGCACTAAGCCTGGCAAGAGGAAGGGGTGCTGTAGGCCCTGCCCAGAAATGCGTGGGGCCAGAGAGGAGTCCAGGAGCCCCTCTTTACGCCCTCCCACAGTCTGTCTGAGCATGCTACCAAATCCCAAAATATCCTAAGACTAACAGAAGCAGCTGTGTCTGAGCTCAGTCCTTCCACGCAGCATCCATCCCTTAGTCCCAATTTTCCCTCTCTGGAGACCCTCTTCTGTCCCAAGTCTCCAGAGAAAGAGAGAAAATAGGCCTGATGGCTGACGTGGGTGAGGGGGAGTTACTGGAGCCTGGACCCCAGCCTTGCTAGGGGAGCCCCCTGGATTGCATGGGGCAAGGCCCTTGCTGTTAGGGATATTTCCAAGCCGTTAGAAGCTGTTTAAAAACAGAAATAAAATTGAGAACTAAAGACTCAAGGCTTTGTCTCTTAACTGTTTACTTTTTTCCAGATCACAAAAATGAAGCATCTCTACATAGAGAAAAGTCTGGAAAGACATATGCCAAAATGTTAACAGCTGTTATCTTTACATGATGTGAGTTAAGGGGACTTGTTTTCCTTTGTGCCTTCCAAGTTTTTTGCATTGAGCACAAAATGCTTTTGTAATTAGGGGCGCATGGGTGGCTCAGTTGGTTAAATGTCCGACTCTTGGTTTTGATGCAAGTCATGATGTAGGTAGTTTGTGAGTTTGAGCCCCACATTGGGCTCCGTGCTGACAGTGCACAGCCTGCTCGGGATTCTCTCTCCACTCTCTCTTTGCCCCTACCCCACTTGTGCTCTTTCTCTTTCTCTGTCACTCTCCTCTCAAAAATAAACTTTAAAAAAAAAGCTTTTGTAATTAGAGAAGAGCCCAAAGATTATTATCACATTAAAGATAATACATAGGGTGCCTGGGTGGCTCAGTTGGTTGAGCGTCCGACTTTAGCATAGGTCATGATCTTGTGGTTTGTGAGTTCAAGCCCCGCGTTGGGCTCTGTGCTGAGAGCTTGGAGCCTGCTTCGGATTCTCTGTCTCCCTCTCCCTGTGCCCCTCCCCTGCTCACACCCTCTCTCTGAAGAATAAATAAAGATAATACATAGTCATTGTAGAAAATTAGGAAAATGTAGAAAATCATCCTACCACCTAGAGATAACCACCCTTGATCTTTTAAAATGTAAATGTTATGGAAAGGTTATTTTTCTTGGAACAAGGACAAAGACTACTTTGGCTGTCTCCTACCCCTCTGTCAGACTTTCCTTCTATCATTGGGTGTGGAGCCTTTGTTCTCACCTTTACATTGTTGCTGGGAGCCAGGGGAAACTCAGGGGAAGAAATGGGCTAAGAGAATGGCATGCCTCTTAAGCATTAGAAATAAGAGCATAAAGTTTGCTTCCAAGTATTTCCACTGGAAAATTTTAGGTTAGAAGCTTTCAGAGCAAACTCATGAGAATATGTAGCAGGAGGCGTGAGAACTGGGCCCCTCTCTGTGTGGAGGGGTGTGGGAAGACAGGGAGGGACACAGGTATGGCCCTGCTGGCTGAGAGCAGTGGAATGAGGCGGGTGCTTCTGAAAGCAAATATCCTGAAAAACCTGTTGCTGGCATCCCAGATTCTGGTTCCCACGTGGATCATAAGACCTGAATTCACTTCCAGGGAAATGGCTTTCAGAATGTTTCCTGCTGTGATTGGCTTTAACTGCCTGTAATGATTATCTGTGTGGTAATGTTTGAGAATTCTTGATTGAGGAGACCTTTACTCTCAAATCATTATTTACCTTTAATGGGCTCCTGTTATGTGCTAGGCACTGTGCCAAGCACTTCGTCTGTATTATCTCATTTAATACAGAGAGCATTCCTGTAAGATGGGAATATAATTATCATCCTCCAATAGGAAAGAAATGCAGGATAAGTAACTTGTCCAAGGTTATGTAGTTAATGAATGGTCAATCAATTCAGGCTTGAAACCCACTAAATCAGAGTCCCCTAAAGACTGCTTTTTCCCTCCCTACCATTCCAGAGAGCACCTTAAACAGCTCTGTCATAATCATATTATCTTTTGGGTGAATGCAGGTCAGTACTAGGTACCTTTTAAAATGTACAGGGGTTATGATAAGAGTATGTGTGTGTGTGACAAAGTGAGAGTCATCTACCAGTAATTAAATCTGTGTAAATAATTTTCTCAGCTCAGTCTCTCTTCCCCAAGTGTCTTGGCCCCCCATGATCAAGGGGTTTGAGGTAGGTGATAATAATGGCATTTTTTTTTTTTATGTTTATTTATTTTGACTGAGGCGGGGTGGTGGTGAGGGGTAAAGTGAAAGAGAGAGAGAGAGAGAGAGAGAGAAAATCCCAGGCAGGCTCCACACTGTCAATGGCTGACATAGGGCTCCTTTTCACAAACCATGAGATCATGACCTGAGCCAAAATCAAGAGCCGGTTGCTTAACCAACAAGGCTTTTTTATTTAAATTTTTTAAAATGTTAATAATTACTTCTGAGAGAAGAGAGAGAATGGGGAGGGGTAGAGAGAGCGGGAGACACAGAAAATGAAACAAGTTCCAGGCTCTGAGCTGTCAGCACAGAGACCGATGCGGGGCTCGAACCCACGAACCACAAGATCATGACCTGAGCCAAAGTCAGAAGCTTAACCAACTGAGCCACCCAGACACCCCATGATAGTGGAGTTTTTAAAAACCTTTTTTGGGGGGCATGTGGGTAGCTCAGTTGGTTAAGCGTCTGACTCTTGACTTTGGCTCAGATCATGATATCATTGTCATGGGATCAAACCCTGTGTTGGGCTCCACAATGAGTGTGGGCCCTGATTGGGGCTCTCTATCCCTCTCCCACCCCTCCTCCTGCTCTCTCTTGCTCTCTCTAAATAAATAAACATTGAAAGAATAAATAAAAACCTTTTTTTTGAAGTATAGGATTCATCCCCCCAAAATATGCCAATCAGAAGTGCACAATCCTTAAGAATTTTTCACAAACAGATCCAAATAACCAGCAACCAGATCAAGAGACAACATTACCAGCACTCCAGAAGCAACTTTTTAGGCCCTGCGCCAGCCTCTGCCTCCTCCCCCCTCCCCAAAGGTAACCTCTATCCAGATTTTTAACATCATGGATTAAAGTACTCCTTTTTAAAGTTCATGTAGAGTCATACAGGTTGGATTATTTTGTGTGCGCTTTCTTGTACTCTGCAGTGTGTTTTCCAGAATCATCTAACCACAGCAATTTTGAGAAGTGGTGGTCAAAAAGAAGAGACAAGAGTAGAACAGTGGTTTTGTTCTGTTTTATATTTTTGTTTTTTATTAATGTACCTAGCTCAGTGCCTCTCATACTTCAAACAAGATCCCCAGACAGATCACCTGGGACTCTTATTAAAATGTAGACTCTGATTCAGTAGGTCTGGGGTGGGGCCTGAGATTCTGTATTTCTAACTAGCTCTAAGGTGATGCTGATGCTTCTGATCCACACTTTGATGTGCAAGCACTATTCTCCATCAATAATTTGAAAGGGTGCAGCAAGTATTTGCAAACTCATTCAGTGACTGCAACATAGAATCATTCTAACAGAATAACACTAATGGAAAAGATTGGAGCATAATTTAATTTCTACATCTTATAAAATTTAATTACTTTTTATGTGTTTCTGATTGATATCTTTCTACTTTAAAATATTATTTTTTCAAACAGATGTCAAATACCCATGGTAAACAATTTTTAAAGTATAGAACGGTAGGGGCAGCTGGGTGGCTCAGTTGGTTAAGTGTCTGACTGACTCCGGCTCAGGTCATAATCTCACAGTTTGTGAGTTCCAGCCTTGCATCGGGCTCTGCTGTCAGCGTGGAACCCACTTCAATAACTTTTTTTTTGTAATGTTTATTTATTTTTGAGAGAGAGAGAGAGACAGAGTGTGAACAGGGGAGGGGCAAAGAGAGAGAGGGAGACAGAGAATCTGACACAGGCTCCAGGCTCTGAACTGTCAGCACAGAGCCCAATACTGGGCTCAAACCCACGAACCAAGAGATCATGACCTGAGCCGAAGCGGGATGCCCAACAGAACCACCCACGTGCCCGAACTTGGAGCCCACTTCAGGTCCTCTGTCCCCCTCTCTCTGCCGCTCTCCTGCTCACTCGCTCTTTCAAAAATAAATACTAAAAAAATACATGTAGAAAGGCAGACAATGAAAATAAGTTGCCTTGTGCTTAGCTCTTAAGTTTCTATTCCCAGAGGCAACCACTGTTACTGATTTTTTGTGAAATTTTCAATAAGCTATACACTTATATTTTTGTTTTGCACAAGTGGTAGGTTATTGTACATGTTGTTTTGCCCCTTTACTCTGTTTATTAACAATATGTGTAAGTAAATAGCTAATGGTATATACTCTGGATATTGTTCTAAGTGCTTTCGGTATTTTAACTGTAATCTTCACAACAACCTTGTGCAGTAGATACAATTACTGTTTCCATTTTATGGATGTAATTCAAATCTAGTATACCCTCCAGAGCCTCTATTATGAAGCTTTTCCCTAGCTGTATGTATGCATCTCTGCTCCTTAACATTGAACATTTAGGTTGTTTCCAGTATTTTGCTATTATAAATAGTGCTGCAATGAACTTTTTAGGCATATCATTGCATACTTGTAGGGATGTATCTATAGAAGAATTCCTAAAAGAAAAATTGCTGAAGGAATTTGCATTTTAAATTGTGGTTGATACTGCCAAGAACCCAAGAATCCAAGGTGAGTTCTGTCCATCTGGTAAGTGAGAGCAGTATTTCATTGTAATTTCAGTTTGCACTTCTCTTATTATAAGCGATGCACCTTTTCGTATGCTCTTAGCCATTTTGATCTTTACTCTGAACCGTTTGTCATAGACTTTTTTACTAAGTTGTTGGTCCCTTGTTACTAATTTGTAAGTGTTCATTTTATATAAAGGAAATTATTCTTTTGTGGTACATGGTGTAGATGATGTTTTTGCTGTGGTTATTTGAGTGTGTATGTGTATAGGTTCTGGGTTTTGTGTCATACTTAGAAAGGACTTCCCACTGCAAGATTATTACTACTTTTTTCAAGTAGGCTTCACGCCCAGCATGGGGCTTGAACTCACAACCCTGATATCAATAGTCGGATGCTTTACCAACTAAGCCAGCCAGGTGCCCCATGCAAGAAGATTATTTTTAAAAACCTGCATTTTCTTCTAGTGCTTCTAAAGTTTATTTTTCACTGTTTCATTTTGAGTCATCTAAAATGTATTTTAGAATAAGAAGTGAGATATGGATCCAAATTTATTTTTTTCCAGATGGCTATCCATTGTCCCAACACTGTATACTGAATGATCTATATTTTCTGCACACTTCTTTAATAATCCATCTCTATGTATTTATATACTTCTTTTGTTATATACTATGTTCACATATGTATTTGGGTTAATTTCTAGACTCTATATTCTATTTCCATGTGCCAGCACGACTACTGTAGATGTATTGTGTAGTTTTCCTACGTGCTCCTCTTATATTTTTTTGCAATGTTCCTCAAGGTTTAAGGAACAGCATCATAGGTGTTAGCATATGGAGATAGCTCATAGGGGATAGCATGCCTGCAGTCTACTGAAGGACTGCAGGTCTCCCAAGGCTTTACAGAGTGATTTGTCTATGATGTCATCCAGCAAGAAGGGACAGTCAGGATAAGAACCCAGGGATTTACCTAGTTCCTCTTTCCAGTGCCCCAGACTTAGAGGGTAGAGGTGGTAGAAAGACTGGATTGACTTTTTAGTCACCCTCCACAACTAACAGTTTTCTAAGTCCTATTGAGTCCATTCTCCCAATTTCTTTTGAATGGGTTCTTCCTGCCATCAGCATCCTCAGATCTCTCTCCCCTGTTCCCCAGACTGCTGCAACAGTTCTGGAAGCTTCCTGACCTCTCTCAACCCAGACCAGTGACTCTGCCTGTTATAAAGTCCCGTCCCTCAGCACCTGGGGAATTTGTCTTCGGGGCTCTCATTCCCCTTTTGTAATTAATTAGTTGTGATTATCCACCCTCTCCCCATGTAAGTTGAGTGAGCACAGCATCTTGTTTTATTCATTGCAGTATCCCCAGCATCTTAGCCCCAAATCCTAACCTCAGTTTTCTAAAAATGGAAAGGTAGAATGGGAAAATAATATTTATTTTACAAATCCTTTTGATGATTAAGACAAAGGATCTGTGCCTAGAGGAGGGCCTGGCAAGTACCCGTGGTTCAGTAAATAGGCACAATTTCTCACCTTTCCCTCAAATTACTGTTTTTCCCTGGGGTAAAGCATAAAGGAGAAGCTATCCCTTCCCCCACCACCCCCTCCCCAAGACACAGACAAGTGGAGAAAGACCCTGAGTCATTAAGAGGGAGAAAGGAATTTTACGTCTTGACCCTTGAGAACCCAAAAGGCCCAAGTCAGATGGCCTTGCCTGAACTTTGCTCAAGGGCTCCAGATATGTCGGGTGGGGGCTCTTCTACCCGAGTTTCTGACAAGGGAAGCCTGGGGCGGAGTCTGGGGCCGGGGCCTAGCGCGGCCTACCCAACGGCTTGGCGGGCCCACTGGGGACCGGACCACACGCGGGGCCACGCGAAGGATCACGCGCGGGCTCGCTCTGCTCCGGCCTTTGCGGAGGCCGCCCGGCGGCCGGCTGGGAAAGGCTCGGCCGGGGGGCTGGGGCGGGGCGGCGGGACACTGGCCCCTTTGTCCGCGGCGTGGAGGGGACCCAGCTGCAGGTCCGCGGCGGAGCGCGGTTGGCCGGCGGGCACCGGGCTGCGGCGGCCTAGGGAGCGCTTCCCCAGAGGGGGCGCCCAGAGACTCAGAGGGGGGGGGGGGAGCCAGGCAGTTCCAGGTCAGCTGGGTGGGGCCTCCCGCCACTCGGAACAGGGCACCAGCGCTGATGCCGGCGCTTCTTTGTTAAAAGCGGTGCAAGGTTTTTCTCTTCTGGGAGTAAAATTTCATTGAAGGATTGACTTGGCCGCGAGGAATATAAAGGAACTGTGAGCTCCAGTTTTTCCGCCCTAGGAGCTTAGGTTTTGGGAAACGAGGAAAGCGTCCCTGAGTTTATCCTGAAAGAGCTAAGGAGCATGTGGACAGTAGGCGCCCTGGGAGGGAAGAGGAGGAGAGAGCTGGCGGGGGGTGGCTGGAGCCATCTGGGCAGAGCGGAGGAGGCCGGAAAACCTAGCCCGGTGGCTGGAGCCGTGGGGATGCCACACGGAAACAGGGTCTGCAGATGCTTACTGACCAAACTGTAGGTGAAGAGTCCGAGGAAATTGCTGAAGCAAGCAAGCAAACAAACCCATAATCCACTTCAACAAACAATTCTTCATATTTTTTAAGTTTGGTAGCAGAAATCTTTTATTAAAATGAAATATGTATAACATCAGTATATAAAATGGTTGAAAATATATTGGTCCTCAAAACATGTAAGTCTTCATTGTTTGTTAGGGAATGCTTTCTTTTTTGTGACCTTGAGGGACCTTCGTCGGGCTACCGAGAAAAAAACAAATGGAAAAAAAAAAAAAAAAAAAAAAGGATAGCCAGAATCATTTCTTAGTTGCTGAAACTTCCATCCTAACATGGAGCATGTATTTCTACCAGCACTATCTCACATTACCCTGAGTTGCAAACTTGGGATGAGAAAAGTGTCAAACCTCGTGGAAATAGACTTTCACAGTGCACCAGTAGCGGTCTTCTAGAAATACAGTGAATATTGTTGGAACTGGGCAGCTTTCTTCCAAACCTACTATTTTTCTTTTAATCAGGTCATGCCCCTTTTTTGATACCTAGAAACTATTTGACACTATAATCATTGTTCCTAACAGTCTCTGTTCAAGCACATACTGCATACCAGCTACTCTTCCTGTACCTTTGTAAACCTCATTATTTTTAATTCTCAACCATAGTATGTTTTAGCTTAGGTAGTGAACATAACTGTTTACTTTGTGTTTTTTGTTGTTGTTGTTTATTTATTTTGAGAGGGAGCACAAGTTGGGGAGGGGCAGAGAGAGGGAGAGACAGAATCCCAAGCAGGCTTCGGGCTCTCAGCGCAGATCCTGATATGGGACTCCAACTCACAAACCGTGAGATCATGACCTGAGCTGAGCTCAAGAGTCACTTAACCGACTGCACCACTCAGGTGCCTCCATTTTGTGGGGGTTTTCAAAATAACCTTATAATATTAACATATTTAATCTTAACAGTTATATAGGGTGGACACTAATCCTTTTTTTAAAGTTTTTTTTTTTTTAAGTTTATCCATTTATTTTGAGAGAGAGCGAACTTGAGTGAGGGAGGGGCAGAGAGAATCCCAAGCAGGCTCTACACTGTGGGTGTAGAGCGTGATGCAGTGCTTGTACCCACAAACCATGAGATCATGACCTGAGCCAAAGTCAGATGCTTAACTGGCTGAGCCACCCAGAGGCCCCAAGATTTTTTTTTTTAAGTAATCTCTACACCCACCGTGGGGCTCAGATTTACAACCCAGAGATCAAGAGGCACATCCTCTACCAACTGAGCCAGCCAGGAGCTCCCAAACCCTCAATATTTTTTCAATTAGAAAATATTTTGGGGCCGCCTGTGTGGCTTAGTTGGTTAAGTGACTGACTTCGGCTCAGGTCATGATCTTGCGGTTCGTGGGTTCGAGCCCCGCCATGGGATCTGTGCTGACAGCTGGCGCCTGCTTCAGATTCTGGGTCTCTGTGTCTCTCTGCCCCTCCCCCACTTGCACTCTGTCTCTCTGTCTCTCAAAAAATCAATAAACATTAAATAAAATATTTTGAATGCTCGGAAAAGTTTTGAGACAAATACAAATCTCAGTCTTTTTCCATATTTGATTTCGATATTTTGGAAAGAAATAAAACATTGTAGATACGGTGGAAGCCTCCCAGGAACTACTCCCTTATTTCATTCCCCATTTCTCCTTTCTCTCCCCAGACATGCATTATTTGAAATTGGTATCTATCTTCCCCTGCATGTTTTATTCTTTTCACTACATTCATATACCCATATATGAAATTAAAATACATCAATTTATTTTTAAGACTTATCCACTTTGATATGTAGGTCTAGTTCATTCACTTAAACTGTTACTTCTCCATTGTATGATCACAACACAATCATTTCATTCTCCTATTGATGGACATTTGGTTTCTACTTTTTGTAATTTGAACAATGCTGCATTGCATGTTTTTGCTTAGGTCTTATATACACAAGAGAGTTTCAGGCTGGTTTTTAGGAATTCACATCTCCAATTCTGCTAGATATTGCCAGGCTCTCACAGTGGCTATAAAAGTAACATTTTCACCAGCAGTAACTGAGAGTTCCTTTTGGTCCACAATCTCAGTAGTACTTAGTATTGTCAGATATTTTAATTTTTAACAACCTAATGGATGTGAAATGATAATCCATTTCTGTCTTAATTTCTATTTCCTGAATTACTAGCGAGTCTGAGCATCTTTTCGAATGTTTATGGGACACTGGATTTTTCTTTCTTTGATTTGTCTTTGCTCATTTTTATTTACTTACTAATGATAGAAATCCTTTATGTATTCTGGACCAATCGCATATCAGCTGTATATGAGGCAAAAACCTTCTCTTGGTTGCAACTTTTCACTTTTTTTTTCTTTTTGTACAGAAATGTAAACGTTAATGTAGTCAAATGTATTGCATATTTTACTTAATAGCTTTTTGTGACTTAAGCAATTATTTCCAGGGCACCTGGCTGGCTCAGTCAGTGGAGCATGCAACTCTTTTTTTTTTTTGATGTTTATTTTTATTTTTAAGAGAGATAGAAACAGTACAAGCTGAAGAGGGCAGAGTAAGAGAGACAGAGCAGGCTCCAGGCTCTGAGCTGTCAGCACAGAGCCCAGCTCGGGGCTCATACTCATGAACCATGAGACTGTGACCTGAGCCGAAGTTGGTGCTTAACCAGCTGAGCCACCCCG